ATGCTTCCGCAATTCTGTTACTTTCACTTTCGACAAGTACCACCTAATTTCTGGCAAAATCGTATCCATTTTGTGTGTGGTCACAACCTGTTCCAGATCTGGGGTTATGGTAGGTGGAATCAGTATTTCATTTATTTAGACAGGCAAGGACCTCTACTTTGCAGGAAAAGTGGACAACGTGGCTTCTAGAGTCCATGTTGAATTACATCGTTAAAGGCTGAAAAGAGACGTGTCCACCAAGTTTAGCCTTTCTCACATCTGTTTTTGCTGTTGATCTAAAAGAAGGCAAAAACGCAATTTAAAGCAACTCCAATTTTGCAACAAACTAGGAAAACAAATCCGTCACGATCCCAGAATGGCAGAATTATAGTTCTGAATGTTAATGATTCATAGTTCTTGCTTGAGATAGTCAATATTCTTGACAGCCCTATAGGAAGAACAAAATTCACATGTACAGGATAAATAATATCTCAATGTACTTCAATATGTTTATTTATATGAACAAAACTGTAGATACTGTACTACTATAGAAAAGTGTCATTTTTAAAATATGAGTATCCATGCTGGGCACTAACCTCTTTAACTCCTTAAGGACACATGACATGTGTGACATGTCATGGTTCCCTTTTATTCCAGAAGTTTGGTGCTTAAGGGGTTAAACAGGTCTCTGATGTCAATATCATTTCTGAGCATTTAATTAAGATAAAATATTGATGAAACACTCAAATTGGTTGCATTAAAATGTCTTCCAAATGTCAGTGTAATTAAATGGTATAGACTAATATGGTTATTTACTAAACTAAGAATTCCAGGGGAGGTTTGAGTTAATTTAAAATTTAAGGTCAGATTAGCTGAACGGAAAATATAATTAAGAATTTTTACAGTTTAGCTTTTTTTCAACCTAAAATTTGAAATTCACTTTGACTTCACTTGAAACTCATACTTAAGTAAATAAGGCTGTAAGTAAAAGAAGTTGACAAAACTTGACAAAATAAATTTCAATTGTAGTGAAGACCTTCAAATTGACCTTAAGTGCTAAAAGGCTTAGTGCATTCAACGTGTCAAAAAGCAATAATGTTCAAAACCCAACACTATAAATACATGTACAAATTTCCTTCACATGCCAAATTTCCATCATGTGTGTATTTAAATTGTTGGGTTTGACACATTGAATACACTAAGCACTTTAGCAACTAAAGGTAATTTTGAAGCGCTTCACCACAATCGAAATTTTTTGTGCTATTTTTTTGGTGTTAGAGAGTACACTTGGTAGTGATCAGCTGCTAATTAACTCAATTTTTATTTTATTTACATTTTTATTAGTTAGGGATTTTAAGCACCTTTTTTTTTTCGTTTTTTTTTTTTTTTCAAAACATGACAAAAGGCAGAGCTAAGTTTTATTCCCAAAAGCTGTGTCTAGCAATGGTTGTGGGAATTGACAAAACTTGATGGCACATACCACTATATTGTCCGTAGACCTCTGTGTCCAGCAGTGACACAGCTCCTGACAGAAAAAGCACCAGGAGTTAAAGTAGGATGATGACGTGGAATGCAAGGTAGAACTCCAAGCTAGTATATCTGCCTTTAGCATCATCCTCAGCTGCCACATACCAAGCGGGTATGTCAGCTTTGGAGATTCTTTGAAAAAGATACAAAAAAAACCAAAGGTGATAAAACCACTTTAATGCATACTTTTAAGGAAGACGCTTTCCCTCAACATCTTTTTTTTCCACAATTGATATGATATAATTTCAAAAGGTTTTTCTCGATGTAGCTATGGAGTCAGTTGAGCTGTTATCTGGATAATATATCATAGTAGAATGTTGTGGGCAAATCAGGCAACTGACTGATGGTGGTGAGGACCTTATACGCAGATGTTGCAGCATCTCAGCATAGCTGGGGTCCTTTTTTAGTGTGAATGAGTGGGGTAGGGCAGCTCGTGAATGCCTGCTCAGGAAAACAATTCATGCCGGCACCTCCAGAGCACTTATTAACAGGATATAAGATATGAAGCTCTGCTCTTTAAATGTCACAGAAACTGAAAGGAGAAAACCAATCATGTCACTCACACGAGAATGTCATTGTCATGACAAACACCATACAGATATGCATTTGTGTGCTCACCCAACAGATATTTCAACTCTAACATTAAAATAGAGAGAACAAGCAATAGGAGGATAAATGTGTGGTTTGCGTCTGTAAAAAAAAAAAAAACTGCTAGTGTATGTATGTATTTATATTAGAATAAGGCGTCGGGTTTTGAAGAAGAGAGAACGAAACAGCTTGGATGAGTTGGGGGGAACAGAGATGGGTCGGGGAAGGAACATGCATAGATTCAGGTTAGGGACATTGAGAGAGGGCATCGTTGGTTAGACAGCAACAAACAATCTGGCTGGTGGGAAAATAAACAAAAACAAAATATCACAAGATATTGACTTGTTGACCAGGATTTACAGGATTTATAAATAAAATAAGAAGATATTAATAAAAGAAATCTGAAATGAATTTCACTGAGGCTCAAATTATTTTTATATTAAAAAAAATAAGTTGGTTAATGAAACTATAAAAGCCACGTTGCATTCCAGTTTTCATTAACTAGAAACACTGCTACAATGACTGCTGAGAAGGGTGGTTATCAAATTAAAAAGGTCACTAGTGAAACATATGAAACTAGCATCAAAATTGTGTTTAGAATGTCGCTCATCATTGCAGTGCTTTTGTAATGATGCTGCATTCATTTAAAAGAACTATCATTATAGTCAATCAAAATGTCTATAAATATATATTTAATAAGCAGATCATGTTTTTATATCCTGCAATGCATGATGGGTCATATCACAATGCACATTAAAGAAATGTTGCATGGGGAACTGGAGCTCCGTAGCGAGGAACCCTATTATTAGGGCAACAGATGGACATACATGTCCCGTTCTGCCCAGGATTGTTAGAAGTCACACTCCTACGCCAGCAGTTGCTATTAGAAGATGTCACCAATTATTCAGCTCCTTTCCCAGTAATGCTACGCCTTGAGAGGGACAGGAGATGGAGAACCATACAGTCATGGTCTGCCTTTTCTATTCTCTAAAATACCAGTTGTCCCCCTGCATATGTAAATTGTGGCTAAGTAGTGCTATTTTGCACATTCTCAATCTGTTTTTTGTTTATTACAGGTTAGTATAAACCCACAAACGAGTCATGATCACAGCACCAACAGTGCTTGAGAGGAGGTAAGCATTAATTTAATATTTTCAAAAGGAATTATATGCATAGTTTATCTTTGTGACAAACACTATATTAGTTGCTTAAGGTATGGTTTTCGGTTTAACATTAGCTTGGAACGAGTTCAGAGTTAAAATAATGTATATTGACATTTTCCTGGAGGGGGGGACCAAGCTATAATGTGCATAGGCATCAGTCATTACAGAGCCCCTTTTAAATCAAAGGATAAGCAATGTCAGGATGGGAATTTGTCCGTCTCTTGTCCTATGCTGAGGATACCCCTGCTATGTAATATATTATATTGGAGTTAAAACCAGAAAAAAACAGTTTAGAACTATCACAGGGTTGCATTTGTGAGCAGTGTTTGTGCATTTGAATGTAAACATGTTTTTGTATGGACTATGTGTGTGTAAATATAGTAGTGTATTTGTATGTACTGTTGCTATTTGAATGAAGTAGTGTGTTTGTATGTAGTGCTGGCGTTCAAATGCAGGTGTACATTTGTGCGTAGTGTTGATGTTTGAAAGCAAGTGTGTATTTGTGTATTATGTGTTTGAATACTGGGATGTATGAACATATACACATACACTGCCACACACCTACTCACACAGGTGTAGTTTATTTTATGTTTAATGGTATGTATTGGTTTTTCCTTCAAATCACTAGCTACATGAATTGTCTTGCAACGCTTCCATGAGGTTATTACATGTGAAACCTAACGATCTGTAGCTTGCTTATGTTATGGGCAATCTTTCCCTTACCCAAAATGGAACTCGGACTTTCAATACATTTTATGACATATGGCGCACCGGAAGTGATGCCAAACGGAAGTACCGGAAGAGATAGGAGCACGCCTAATCAAAGGTGAAGCTATTCAATTAATACAAAGGAGGTATACGTTTGGAATATTTGACATCAGAATGTATGAACTTATTCAGCACTGAATAAAACTATTTGACAGTCGAAACGTGTTTGCTGTTTACTGATAAAGACTTTTTCTCCTTTTATGCAGTAGTATATACTGTCATTGTTTGTATTACACACTGCTTTTTAAGTCCTTTATTTGTTATTCTATTTTTAACTTTTTAATAATAAATATTTGGAACAATTACTTCACCTGTGTTGGCTGCTAAATATCCAAGGCCAGTAGTGGTGGCACCCAGAAGACTATTATACAGAGCCTGACACAGCTCTGCCTTTGTGAGTGCTATTCATACCATTAAGTAGTCACTTATTTGTTAAAACGAATGGCACTATGTGCATTTGTATTGTTTTTATTACAGATTCCTGCTCTTATTTATTTTAATATTAGTATATGGAGATTCTACATTCCATTTTAGAGAAGTATTACTTGCAGGTCCACGTGGTGGTGTGTGTACCAGTTGTTTCTAACTTGTGTTTCTTGTTATATATAAATACACATACACAGTGACACACACACATACACACTGACACACACAGATACATATACACACTAGCACAGATACACGTATACACTGTCACTCACAAAGATTCACACACATTCTGACACAGATACACACACACACTGACACACAAAAAGATACACACACATACTGGCACAGATGCACAGCGATGTATCTTACACAACGCAAACAAGGCAACATTTGCCTTGGGCGGCACTTTGCAGGGGGTGGCAAAAAAGCCGCCCCTAAATACCCAGGTGGGCATACTCCCTCACTGCCCACCGTGATAGAAGCTGCCGCATGCCTCGGGGGGCTCAAAAGTGGCCAGCCGGCCAGCTCTTGAGACCCCCAGGGCACGAGGCAAACAAGGCGATAGAAGCTGCCGCCTGCCTCGGGGGGCTCAAAAGTTGCCAGCCGGCCACTTTTGAGCCCCCCGAGGCAGGCGGCAGCTTCGATCGCAGCGGGCAGTGAGGGAGCATGCCCACCTGAGCTCTTCCTGCTCAACTCCCTCGCGCGCCGCTTAATGAAGCTGGGAGCTGGAATATGATGTCACCCTGGCTCCCAGCATCACTAAGTGGCATGCAAGTGAAGAATAGAGCTCCCTCGCCGCCTACTCTGCCCCCTGCCTGCCCGCGCAGCAGCCCCACTGGACCGGAGGTAAGTAATCCACTCCAGAGGCTGTGTGGATTTAAATAAAAGAAAAATAATAATAATTTGTGAGTGTTGGGGGAAATGTGTGTGTGTGTGTGTGCCGTTGAGTGAATGTGTGTGTCTCTGTGAGTGTGTATGTGTGTCTGTGAGTGAGTGTGTGTGTCTGTGAGTGTTCTGTCAGTGAGTGTGTGCATCTGTCAGTTAGTGTGTGCACCTGTCATTGAGTGTGCGTCTGTCAGTGAGTGTGCACCTGTCAGTGAGTGTGAGTCTGTCAGTGTGTGTCTGAGTAATAGTGCGTGTCTGTCAGAGTGTGTCAAATCAGTGAGTGTTTATGTATGTCATTGTTTGTCAGTGTATATGAGAGTGTGTGTCTGTCAATGAGTGTGTGTCTGTCAATGAGTGTATGTGTCTGTCAATGAGTGTATGCATCTGTCAGTGAGTGTCTGAGTAATAGTGTGTGTCTGTCAGAGTGTGTCAAATCAGTGAGTGTTTATGTCATTGTTCGTCAGTATATATCAGAGTATGTGTCTGTTAGTGAGTGAGTGTGTGTGTGTCTGTCTGTCTGTCTGTGAAAGTGTGTGTTGGTTAAACAGTATGTGTGCCAATGACTATCTTTTAGTGAGTTTATGTCAGCGAATGCATCAGTAAGAAAGTGTCTGTCAGTCAAAGTGCGGCGTTGGCAGGAAAGGGTGGGAAAATGTGATAATGGGGAGGGGGGTTGGTTCCTCCCAGCACCACTGACAGGGGCCAGTCGCACTGTTAAAGAGCTGCAGCATCTGAACAGGCCACAAATCAGTGATGACCAGTGAGTGTCACTAAGTGTGAATGACACCTGAAGGGCGCCAAAAGCATGTGGGCTCCGGTGCAGCTGTATCAGCAGCAGCAACAATAATTCAGCCGCTGAAGGGGTGTCCTGCAACAAATTAATCTCATAGGAGCAATCATTAAATTAGGTAAGAATAAGAGAGCATTGATGGTATGGCAGTCTTGTGCAATGTACATTCTTATTTTGCATCCAAAACCCCATAAGTTTACCTCAGACAGATATTCTATAAACACTGTAAGATTTAAAGCTAGTTTGGACTGGAGTGTGCTGTATTTTATATATTGTATCGATTGGTTCCAGAAGCAACCTGGTATGTTCAGGAGAATGCTGTGTTTCTGTTCTATATCTTTATATTGCTGCGCTAAAGCAAATACAGCAATCATCTTGCACAATCATGGTACTTAATAAAAATCAAGGTATGTACTGTCTAACGTCAGTAAGCTTGAAATCTAATTTCCTGTAAAGTGCTTCTTGAAGGGGTACGGTCACATGAGAGAGTTGGCAAAAACATAGTAGTTAGCTATGAGTTGTGCATTAGCATGAATGAACACATACATAAGCTTGTCATATCATGATTCTTTGTAAACTAGATATCTCAGCATGCCACGGGGCGTCATGGGGAACAATAAGTGTTTTAGAGGTAAGTGTGTTTTACACTGTACCCCAGTAAGATCGTATTAGGGTGACAGATTGATTGTCACTATTATTTACTGTTTTTGTTGACATCCCAAAGCTGGAAGGTGTTTATTCAAATATCAATAGGTAAAAAATTACAATATCTCAGTGAGTAACGCCAATATAAATCGATACTCTAACACCTTAGTGAGTTTTACCTTAACATCTCACAACACACAAAGTAAAACATACAGTATAAGGCAGAGTTTCTTTTCTTTTCATTAAAATAATGACTGGACCAATATTATCTATAGATAAAATAAAAACAGACGCAATATAGTGCAATATAGCCTATACACAATTTTGAAGTTCAATAGTGGGTAGAAAAGCACTCACAAGCGTAGAGCCATAAAGATCGGCTCAGATTTCCAGCCTTGTGGGATTTAAAGGTGCCCACTCCCTTCTTTGTGCTGATTGCTGGTTTCAAGCAAGAGGATGTCCTCACAATAATCAGTAAAAATGTAGGGTGCTTTATTGTAAAGTGCACAAAAGTGAATAAAATATTAAAATTAGAAACCTTACAATTTGGAAGGTAACTCCTTTGTAATAGTCCTTTTATGGTGCAAAACGCATTTGCCTCATCCAGAGGCTTCCTCAGTTGCTGCTGTGTCTTGTCCGTGGGTTCCTTTTGAATGGTGCTTAATTGACTGTGGTTTCTCCCCCCTTTCCATTTCGGCCATCATTTTGCATTTTGTTCAACCTTGGGAAATACCGGGGAAAATACAGCGCTCATTGGAAGAAGAAGGAGAAAGAGAAGAAAGAGGGAAACAACACAGAGAGAAGAGAGGAAAGACCTCGATTTAGAAGGGATTTTTAATCTTACAGGTCAACCATTAGCAGAAGAACAAATTAGTATTTTAAATAAGGGCCTTAAATTTGCCCCGACTGCTGATTTTAATTCATTTGACTTTTTTGTAGATTTGAACCTTTTTATAAGAAAATTGTCTTAAGAAATTTTTTAGTAATAAAGAAGAGAATCGATCAGTAACAGAAGAAGATGAATATTTCCACACATCTCAAATCAAAATTCTTTCCCCAGGAAACTTACTTCAAATGAAATAAAATCATTTGAAACAATGGTAATGAAAGATGTGGAAAAATGCAAAAAAATAAATAAATACCAGCACAACCTGACGCTAAAGGAGAAAAATATCAAGACAGATAACAACATAATAATTAAACCTGCGGATAAAGGAAGAGGAATAGTGATTCAAAATAAAGAACAATATGTTAGAGAAGCACAAAGAATCCTCTCAAACCCCACCACATATCAGAAATTATCTCACAATCCCACACAGGATACCATTACCATTTTTAAAGAATATATAAAGAAAGGGAAAGACTTAGGAATTTTAAATGATAAGGAAGCAGAGTATATGTTAGTAGAAAGTCCAAAAATACCAGTGTTCTACATTTTACCAAAGGTTCATAAGAATACAGAAAACCCACCGGGGAGGCCTATCATATCAGGTATTGATTCAATTTCTTCAAGAATTTCAGAATATATCGATATCCTACTCCAACCGTTAGTTACAAAATATTCTTCGTATCTTAAGGACACTATCCATGCCTTACAGATTCTGGAAGAAACAAAATGGGTAAAAGGATATCGTATGATCACATGTGATTTGACCTCCTTATATAGTATTATCCCACATGATAAAGGAGTATCAGCAGTAAAATATTTTTTAGAAAAATCCAATTTTAAATCCGAGCAAATCAATTTTATTTTAGAAGGAATTTTACTTATTTTAACCAATAACTATTTTTGGTTTAATAATACTTTTATCTTCAGATCTGTGGCACGGCAATGGGCACCAAGTTCGCCCCCCGTTACGCCAATCTTTTTATGGCATTCTGGGAAGAGCATTTTGTATTACAAGGAAATCGATGGAGGACGAGCTTGGTGTCCTATTGCCGGTTCATAGACGATATATTTTTTATATGGACCGATACCACAGATGAACTTCAGGATTTTATTCTATTTTTAAATACCAACGACTATGGGATCAACCTAACTAGCCATGATAGCGAATTTGAAATTTAATTTTTAGATCTGCACATAAGCATACACGAGTCAACAATAATAACCAAAAATCATTTTAAACCTGTTGACGCAAATAGTTATATAGAAAAAACAAGTTGCCATTATCATCCATGGCTTAATAATGCCTCCAAAAGCCAATTTTTAAGAATCAGGCGCAACTGTAAACTAAATTCGGATTTTTTTCAACAGGCTAATTACATTAAAAAACAATTTATAGAAAAAGGTTATGACAATACAACCCTAGAGAAAGAAATAGAGTAAGTAGGTAATTTAAAAAGAAAAAACTTTATACAATATAAACAAAAGAAATAACCAATTCAGACCAACGAAATTCCTTTTATATGCAATTTTACGGACGAATACAAAAAATCATTAAAAAACATTGGCATTTGCTAAAGGATGACCCCATTTTAAATAGAATTCTACCATCAAAACCAAAAATAACATACAGTAGAGCAAAACATTTTAAAAGTATTTTAGTTAAAAGCCACCTTTCACCTAAAAAATCTAAGCACTTTATACAAGAGTTAAAAGGATTTTATCGATGTGGCATGTGCCTCCCATACAAAACAACTAATAGTAAAAAGTGTAACTTAAAAGACATAGGAAATATTATTAAAAAACCACATACTATTAATGACCATTTAACCTGTCATTCAAAGGGCATTATATACATATTAAAATGCCCATGCAATTTACTCTACATAGGCAGAACTATCCGACCCTTGAAGGTCAGGATTGCCGAACATATCAGAAACATTAAAAACGGTTTAGAAACTCACAGTGTGTCCCTACATTTTAAACAATTTCATAATCAAAATACAGAAAACCTATTTTTTAGTGCTATAAAAGAAGTAAAAAGGAATTGGAGAGGAGGTAACTATAGGAAAAAAAAATTTCCCTTATGGTTTAAACTCCAATTTTGAAGTCTGTCACTTTTAACCCCTTAAGGACACATGACATGTGGGACATGTCATGATTCCCTATTATTCCAGAAGTTTGGTCCTTAAGGGGTTAATAGAGAATTATTATTTTTTTTTTATAATTTTAATTTGTACTAAAATTAATATTTTTAGTATAAGTATTTATCTTTTCTCTCATTTGAGTTTTTATAGAGATTATGATTTCATAAAAACTATAACAGTTAACTTTTATAAATTATTTTATACCAGTTAGTATGCACCTTTTAAAATATGCATATATATTTCTCTCTCCCTATATTTCCCCTTTTAGTATACCACTTTTATTGATATATATCATTT